AGTATTTGAAATGCTCTTCATCAAGAAACTTAAGCCCAATTTAAATATTCAGACGGACTCCATACGTGCGAAACTCTTTGTTTAATATTTTCTCACGTTACAATTTTTAATCAGCTATTGTTGTTTTTTTTTTAGTATTTATAGACCAAAAATCACTAACTTATTTTGACTTGATAATGACGTTCAGCTAACGTCGAAACGTCGTCGCTTTTTAGCAATTTTTTTTAATCTTAAAATGATTTTAAGAAATGTTTTATCGCAATTTTTTATAGTGAAATGTTTTTATTAGTTCTTTTATTAACTAATATTTTACTTTTGTAATTTTCCGAAAATTGTAAATTATTATTATTATTATCATTATTTGGATTAGTCATTTATTACTTTAAGATTTTAGTGTTGTAATGCGCATTCCATCATATCTTTATTGCATGCTAGACTGCGCAATATAAGAAATAAACATTATTATTATTATTATTATTATTATTATTATTATTGTATTGCTGTTATCGTGCTGCTGCTGTAGGGTGCCTTGCTGGTTTTGGATGTGCATTTCCATGTTAGGCTTTAGAACACTGAACTTGGTGCGAGGGTTGCGCTTCAAGAACAGTTCTGCTGGTGTCACTCCTGTAACAGAATGAGGAGTGTTTCTGTACTGGAACAGACAGTTTGCCAGTTGGTGCTTCAAAGACCGTTTCGGTGCACCCCTTCTTACTCTTTCAGCCTCTTTCCGTAATGCTTGCTTGAGGATTTGTACCGTACATTCTGCTGCACCATTAGTCGATGGGTGATACGGGGGAACTAGCGTCTGTTTAACTCCATTCTGCTTTAGGAAATCCACAAACTCACTGGCAATAAACTGGGGACCATTGTCGGACACAACTTCCTCAGGGAGTCCGTATGCTGCAAGCCACACTCTTAACTGGTCAAGAGTACTCTTAGCTGATGTAGATGTCATGTGTGCTACCCCAATCCACTTGGAGTGGCTGTCAACTAAACCAAGAAAACTATTGCCATCCTTCTCAGCAAAATCAATGCGTACTCTCTGCCACACAAGAGTAGGCCATCTCCACGGGTATAGGGGTGCTCTTGGAGACGCTTTCCACACTGACTGGCAAACCTCACAATTCATCACCATCAGCTCAATCTCTGCATCCAAATTAGGCCACCATAAGTAACTCCGGGCAGTGGCTTTCATGGCAACAATACCAGGATGCTCTTCATGTAACCCTTGCAATAATCGGTTCCTTAACAATGGCAGAATGATCACGCGCATTCCCCATAAGACACATCCTTGATCTGCTGTTAGCTCATTTCGGCGTGTAAAGTATACTTTCAGTTCCTCTTCAGCTACATGATTAGGCCATCCAACGAGGGTGTAATCCAAAACTCTCACTAACACAGGATCTCTCCGTGTGTGCCTGCTGATGTCCTTAGAGTCAACTGGCAATTCATCAAGACCTGAGAATAAGAACATTTCTGCCTCTTCCTTCATGGGACTGATGTCACAGGGTAAACGTGATAAGGCATCTGCATTAGCATGCTCTGCCGATGAGCGATACTCCACCTGATAATTGTACGCCTGTAGAATAACGGCCCAGCGCTGCATTCTTGCTGCTGCTAAAGTAGGTACTGCTGTTTTAGGCCCCAAGATGGTCACTAATGGCTTGTGATCTGTTAACAGGTGAAAAGTTCGACCGTGTAGATACTTGTGAAACTTCTGGACACCAAATACAATTCCCAGGGCTTCCTTCTCTATTTTCGAGTAGTTCCTTTCACTCTTTGTGAGTGTTCTCGAGGCAAATGCAATGGGACGCTCTTCACCATCATCCATTACATGTGAAATCACGGCTCCCACACCATAAGGAGAGGCGTCACACGCCAGAATCAGCTTTCTCTTTTTATCATATGGCACAAGCACCTTGTCAGCCACAAACTCAGATTTGCTGCGCACAAATGGCTTCTCACACTCTTCTGTCCAAGCCGATTTCACTCCTTTCCGGAGCAGTTCATGCAGCGGCTGCAGCAACGTGGATAGATTGGGTATGAAATTTCCATAGTAATCGAGCAGTCCCAAATAGGAACGAAACTCTGCCACATTCTTCAGGCTCGGGGCCCCTTTAGTGGCTGCAATCTTCTCATCTGTGGGATGCCGTCCTTCTCCGTCAACACGGTACCCCAGGAACTCCACACTTGGCACCATGAACTCACATTGTGACCTCTTAGATAATATGCCATGCTTCTCTAACCTGGTCAACACCTCATCCAATACTTGCAAGTGTTCATGGGGCTCTCTTCTGATCAGAATATCATCTATAAGACAACGCACTTTATCCATCCCTTGCAGTATCTGATGCATTGTTGACTGAAAAATGTCAGGAGCAGAGGCTATACCATAGGTGAGACACTGATATGCATACAACCCCTTGTGAGTGTTTACCGTGAGATAGTGCTGGCTGTCAGCCGTCAATTTCATCTACTGATATGCATTTGACGAGTCAATCTTGCTGAACACAGTTCCACCGCCCAAAGTGGCGAATACATCCTCTGTGTCTGGCAACGGATATGGGTTGTCTAGAAGAACCCTGTTAATGGACACCTTGAAATCCCCACAGATACGAATACTTTCGTCTTTCTTTGGCACACAAACAATAGGCGAAGCCCAGTCACTCCGTTCCACCTTCTTAACTACTCCTTGACTTTCCAGACGGCCTAACTCTTCAACTTTTTGGTGTAGGGCGTAGGGTACTGGCCGGGCTTTGCAAAATACAGACTTAGCATCATCTTGCAATTTAATATCTGCCTTGAAGCCTTTGATGGTACCCAGTCCTTTGTTGAACACCTTGTCATGCTGTTTTAATATGTTTAACTGCGTTTCAGCCTTGCTCACAAGAAAGATGTTGTTCCAGTTCAGCTGGAGTTCTTACAGCCAATTCCTGCCCAGTAGCGGGGGACCATCTCCATCAACTACAATCAACGGCAACACCCTTTTCTGCTGATCATATACCACCGGTAGCCAAACCTCTCCATAGACTGGAATTTGGACACCAATGTAAGCCTTTAACTTAACCTTAGTACTCCGCAATTGCCACTGATTAAACTGCTGGTCATATAGGGTCTTAGGCAAGATAGACACTGTTACTCCTGTATCCAACTGCATTTCACAGCTCTTCTGGTCTAACATCACTGACACTTGAATTGGTGCATGCCCCTATTTTTCGGAATCCTCGGCTGTAAACAGGCCTAGTGCGTCATCATCATCATCATCTGTGTCGTCTACCACCACTTCGTCCAAATACTTGTTAACTTCTGCCTCTCGCTTCCGGCCACCTAACGAGTGTGCTGCTCCACCTCTTGTCTTGGTCTTGCACACAGCTGCATAATGACCCACCATTTTACACTTTGAACACTCTGCTTGGCGAGCTGGGCAGCATTAATCTCGGCCATAATGCCCCTCTTTACCACGTCGGTAGCACCGCCCTTTACTAGACTTCTTGTTTGGCTGCTTAGAAGATTTAGAAGGAGATTTCTGGACAACTTCATGCACACTCAATGGCTCTTCTCTCTGCTCCCCCATTTGTTTAGCCTGCAGATCTACAGCTTCCATAGCTCGAGCAACCTCCTGCACTTTTGTCAGAGTCAGGTTTTCTTTTCCCAGTAGTTTTCGTCTTAAAACCGAAGATCAACATTTATCGATGACTTGATCTCTAATGTCAACATCGGGGTCATTGAAATTACAATTCTGTGCTTGTTTCTCGAGTCTAGCGATGAACTGGTCAACTGTCTCTCCATCCTGTTGAGTCATGCTTCTGAATACATGTCTCTCATACGGTTCGTTCAGTTTGGTTACAAATTACGCGTTCAGAGTGCGAACAGTTTTCTCGTATTCTGTTGCGGTATCCTCCTCAAACGTATCTGAGCCTGGGTCCGTTAGCGTTTCGTACAAGTCTTGAACCTCTATTCCCGCTGTGTGAAGTAGGAAAGCTTTCTTTTGCGCTTCATTCACCACTCCTTTGGCTACGATTAAAGTCATTTCTTCCAACGTGGTGCATACGCTGACGAATTCCCTTTGCATTAGAACGGACTTATCCCTTGGATTTCGATATTAACTGCCTCCATTATTCGCTGTTTCAGTTTTTTTTTTCAGTTAATCCCATCCTCGTCGCCAGTGTTAAATATGGAGAAACCAGTGGATGGTTCCAAACACGGTCAGATTTAACTAGATGAAACACACAACATAAGCATACAAGTTTCCAACATGGCGGTCTACCCACAAGCTGGCCTGCTTTAATGCGCATGCATTAAACAACAACCACTGACAGATAAATAGCGAATACATAACACAGCTGTTACCTCGATGTTCTTCAGTACGTTGCTATGGGTTGGAGTACAAATATTGTGACAGCATAGATTTCTTCAGCATTAACACCATCCCAGAATGATGCCATTCCTTCCCTTAACTTGGTGATGCACATGAACGGCTTGGAAATCATCTCTGTTTCACATAATTGGAGTATAAGTTGCTTCATGTTTGAGGTACTTGGAATAGTTGTGACACCATAATCCACGAGAATATCTATCACACATTTTCAGTTGGAAATGGTTTTACACCAAGGAGGGCTTGTTGAAGGATTTCTCTTTCTTTTTCGTAGAGCAACATTAGGAGGGATTGCACCAAACACTCTTCTGATACCCGTCCGGTTACGGCTTGCTGTATTATGGCTTTCAATATCTGCAGCGGAAGTGTCCCAGTCTCGATGAACTGATGTGTTAAAATCCGACCTATAGCAACAAAGTCATCTTGTGACTTGGCAACAGTAACTGGAAACAGAACTGTCCCAAAAGACAGAGTACACTTCTCTGAGCACACCATTACCAACTGCATGTTGACCTTTAAATAAAAGGCAAAGTTTACTGTCAGCAACGCTTTGCTGCCTGATTTGAGTCAACATATCTTCCACACAATTGTGTTGACTGACCTCCCTGACCATCTCCAGTTCGTTTTCAAACTGTTCCTTTACACTTCGACATTTAGCACTTAGGCCTTTCAATATCTGAATGTTCACTTGCTCGCTGGTGGAGACTTCAGAATCATCTTCCGAAAGCTGCGCTGGGGGATGCGACTGGACCTCTTCAAGTTGTTTGTAGGTGTCGGTTGCAACACCATATGATGCAAATGCTGCTTCGAACTCGTAATCAGACAAAGTGTCATCAACACTGTCGTTATTGTCAGGTTGAGCATTGAAAACCGCAACTTCGTCATCATCTCTGCACAAAGAGATGGAGAACTGTTGCTCCGACATGCAAAGCACTGACAGACTTAATGTCATCTTCGGGGTAAGCAGTGCAATAAGGGCCGCTGAAACAGAGAGCAAAATGTTCTGGACGGGTGGACAGTGACCCAACCCAATCGTACAATGCCATAATTGTGCAGTTGGGTGGAAATTCCCTCCTGATGACACTAAGGGTAGGGTGTCGAACAGAAACCATCACGCGTGGCTCTTGTAATGCTGGTTTGGGCAGGACACGGTTCATCCTTGACATTTAGAGAGCTTCTCTTCGGATGCTTGCTTCCTTTGCCAATTCTTTTCCTTTATCTGCTGCTAGAGATGCCTCGTAATCTGCCTGAAGCTGATCCATGAATAATCTGCGTTCTTCAGATCTCCCGATCAATCCATCCATAGCATGTTCTACTGATAAGCTACTGTGCACTAAAGGCTCTGCAGAGGTTGTGCTCAAGCGGGCTGCAACAGGCTGGCCCTTATCCTTTACCGAGATTGCATCTCTTCAGGTTCTTGAGACCCACTGTCTTCAAACTGAGACTTCTTCAATTCCTCGTCATCTGACTCCTTTGATGAAACTGTGCTGCCTCTGAGAGGGAATAATCGGGGAGTATGCAAACCATATCTTTGCTTATACCTTTCCAGCGAAAAGTCCTCGCACATGTAAATGGTCCGACACTTGAAATAGGCAAGCTTAAATTCTATGTCATCCGCCTTTCCGACCAGACTTTGGCCTTCTGGAAAGAAATCTTTTTCAGCTCTAAAAGACATTCTTTTTCTGTGGCGTGTCTTGGTAGGTCCAAATTTCGCACTCCACCACCCTGTTCAGACCTCTTGGCTTTGTAACCAAAACCTTTGACATATAACTTAAACAAGATTTCAAATTTGAGAGTGGCTTTCCTTGCACCTGTAGGTGGCGTGGTCTTCCCCTTCTTCACTGTTGTCTGGGAAAGTCTACGACTCTTGGAAGCCTCCATAATCGCAGATAGGTTCCTCTTCATTTCAGCTCTTTTATCATCTTTGAGCTCACTTTCTCCCCGGCAGAATGCAGGAAGTTTCACTCTGTCTGTCACTGCTGAGATGCCCATGTCACTTAACTCCTTATAGGACATAATGGCTATTGCAGTTTTATCAGCCTGTTTACATCTAGAGATAATAGTGTGTCAGTCGTTATCAAATATTTATTTGTTATTATCACTTTATTTCATTTTCGTAACCTTTTACCTGCATATTATTGTTTAGTAAAAATCTTTTTACCTGCTTGTAATTTTTATTCATTTTTAGCCTTTTTAACGAATTGTAAAGCGCAGTTGATCTTGTGCCATGAAAAGATGCGCTATATAAGTTTTAATTGTAATTGAGTCGAAATGGAGAGAATTGTTGACGATCCCATAAAGTATACCAAAAGATGAACAGAAGGAATTCCACTGTCGATCGGACCATTTAAAGTCATGTCCCCAATTTTGAGAGTGCTTGAAAGAAAAGGAACCAAGGGTGAGCTTCTTTACTAAACCCAAGATCAGACAAAAATGTGCACCAGTATGATTGAATACGTTTTTTAATCTTTTGCGAATTACGTTTTCACGTTACCTTTTCAACTTTGCAGCAACTTCACTACTCAGGGTAGATTCTAAGTAATGTGTTACCTGAAAGAGACAGAAAAATGGTGATCTGTTAACTCTTGAGTTGCATTTACTTTATAACAGTACAGTTCGGTTTTGTACAGGTATAGTTTGGGTGCAGTATTCACTCATGCATAGAGCATGAATGGTATGAAAACGGAAGAGTTCTAAGTGCATATGCACAGGAAACCCAAGTTCACGGCTTTATATCATTAATATGTATATTTGCATGGCTTCGTCGCCTGGCTGTGTAAAACCTTGCTTTTTTGCCCTTTGAAGAGTATTTATAAACCATACACGAAAGTTTACAAAGGTCAACAGGTAAATGCATCCTCCCAGAGAATCAGAATTGTTCTCATATCCACTTGAGGGAGCCATGCGAGGATAGCGTGTTTGCCTACAACAGCTGTTTTGACTCAATTTAAGGCTATTGNCGACTCCTTTGATGAAACTGTGCTGCCTCTGAGACGGAATAATCGGGGTGTATGCAAACCGTATCTTTGCTTATATCTTTCCAGTGAAAAGTCCTTGCATATGTAAATGGTCCGACACTTGAAATAGGCAAGCTTAAATTCTATGTCATCCGCCTTTCCGACCAGACTTTGGCCTTCTGGAAAGAAAATCTTTTTCAGCTCTAAAAGACATTCTTTTTCTGTGGCGTGTCTTGGTAGGTCCAAATTTCGCACTCCACCACCCTGTTCAGACCTCTTGGCTTTGTAACCAAAACCTTTGACATATAACTTAAACAAGATTTCAAATTTGAGAGTGGCTTTCCTTGCACCTGTAGGTGGCGTGGTCTTCCCCTTCTTCACTGTTGTCTGGGAAAGTCTACGACTCTTGGAAGCCTCCATAATCGCAGATAGGTTCCTCTTCATTTCAGCTCTTTTATCATCTTTGAGCTCACTTTCTCCCCGGCAGAATGCAGGAAGTTTCACTCTGTCTGTCACTGCTGAGATGCCCATGTCACTTAACTCCTTATAGGACATAATGGCTATTGCAGTTTTATCAGCCTGTTTACATCTAGAGATAATAGTGTGTCAGTCGTTATCAAATATTTATTTGTTATTATCACTTTATTTCATTTTCGTAACCTTTTACCTGCATATTATTGTTTAGTAAAAATCTTTTTACCTGCTTGTAATTTTTATTCATTTTTAGCCTTTTTAACGAATTGTAAAGCGCAGTTGATCTTGTGCCATGAAAAGATGCGCTATATAAGTTTTAATTGTAATTGAGTCGAAATGGAGAGAATTGTTGACGATCCCATAAAGTATACCAAAAGATGAACAGAAGGAATTCCACTGTCGATCGGACCATTTAAAGTCATGTCCCCAATTTTGAGAGTGCTTGAAAGAAAAGGAACCAAGGGTGAGCTTCTTTACTAAACCCAAGATCAGACAAAAATGTGCACCAGTATGATTGAATACGTTTTTTAATCTTTTGCGAATTACGTTTTCACGTTACCTTTTCAACTTTGCAGCAACTTCACTACTCAGGGTAGATTCTAAGTAATGTGTTACCTGAAAGAGACAGAAAAATGGTGATCTGTTAACTCTTGAGTTGCATTTACTTTATAACAGTACAGTTCGGTTTTGTACAGGTATAGTTTGGGTGCAGTATTCACTCATGCATAGAGCATGAATGGTATGAAAACGGAAGAGTTCTAAGTGCATATGCACAGGAAACCCAAGTTCACGGCTTTATATCATTAATATGTATATTTGCATGGCTTCGTCGCCTGGCTGTGTAAAACCTTGCTTTTTTGCCCTTTGAAGAGTATTTATAAACCATACACGAAAGTTTACAAAGGTCAACAGGTAAATGCATCCTCCCAGAGAATCAGAATTGTTCTCATATCCCCTTGAGGGAGCCATGCGAGGATAGCGTGTTTGCCTACAACAGCTGTTTTGACTCAATTTAAGGCTATTGGCGTTTTCTCCAAATAACTGTGCGGGCCTAAGGGTTGATGAGTTTTGACTATGACCGGGTCCAAAGGTACAAACAGCATCAGCCTTTAACTTAAACTTTGGGAAAATCATTCGTATTGATGACCTTATTTTAAAATCCGCTTCGAACCTTGTAATGATCAAAATATAGCAATGAGCAAGAAACAAGCATTGAAGCAAACTCATGGAGATATCTTTAGATCACCTGCAAATATGGCCGAATCACCACAAACAAGAAAGGATAGATACAGAAGGAATAGACACTATTCACACAGAGTGAAGCATTTTTTCCCCAAAAGTTCATTTCAATAATAATAAACTGTTCAAAATAGGAAAGCATATTGTGACAGACCCAGAAAATGAGCATAAACTTCATCATATAAGGATTGTTTGTCACACATCGCTGTTAATTTCTTGTCCAGGATTTTTGCTTCTTTGAGGCAGAAAGTGTTAACCCAATCAGAGAGCTTCTCCTAACAGTCCTGCATTGTGGGCAAACAACTAGATCAATTTGGACCACCTATGACCCCCTTTATTTTTAACAACTTCCCCCTCCCATTTGCATTTTCTTAGCAGGTACTTTTCGCCTGTAGAGAGAATAACATTTACCTATGGAGAAGATTACATTATACTGGGCATCCTGAAGAAAACTATCTGCTTGTGGAGAAGATAACAAGGACCTTATAACAGCGAGAACGTTGATGACCCAGAAGTCAATAATAGATCCCGGAAATAGGCTTCTTCCTGTTCAAGTCTTCTGTCTTCATCGTGACATGCCAAAGATGTAGAAAAGAAAACTTTTCCTTTTTTGTGAGGAAAAGAAGCATGACATAAAATTAAAACACCACACCTTTTGGTTGCTGACATGACATTCGGCATTCATTTATCGTCTTTAGGATTACATCATTTGGTGATAGCACTAAACGCAACACCAAGAAACTTACATTCTTCTCAATCTCAACAGAAATAAACATACAATATAATCTGAGATCGGACAATCATTTCATACAGGGGAGGACTAGCAATACTTCTAGGTGCTTCATGCTACAGAAACTGGGATACCGTAAGCTCCGACAGTGTGGGTCGAGATTAGATTTAAAGGTTTAGTAGATTTAATTCTCCATAATGAGAGCA